AATGCCACGGCACTCTACCTAGGGGGACAGCTTGAGGCTCTGTCTCAAAAAAAAAAAAAAAAAGTAAATATCTTAGAGAAATCATCTATCCACAGAGCTGCCTCAGGCCAGGCACAGTGGCTCGCCGAGGCAGGTGGATCACCTGAGCTCAGGACCTCTGGCATCGTGGTGGGTGCCTGTAGTCCCAGCTAGCAGGGAGGCTGAGGCAAGAGAATCACTCTGAGCCCAAGAGTTTGAGGTTGCTGTGAGCAATGATACCACAGTACTCTACCGAGGGTGACAAAGAGATACTCTGTCTCAAGAAAAAAACAACACACAAATACAAATATAAATAGTGCTTCCTCATTTTATAATGCTTATGTAATATTCCAAAAGAAAGATTACGAAAACTTATTGAACTTGACCCTTTTTCATGGGAACGTAGGTTGTTTGCAATATTTTCCTCTCACGAATGATACTGTTGTTTCTATACAACTATTTGTTATGGTCAAGCTACTAGTAATTATATCAGAAGATAATTTCAAGGAAATGAAATCTCTGGTTCAAAAAGTGTGTGCGTTTTCAATTTGACAAATTAACACCTAAAAATTACTTTCTCCAAAGCTTCAGCTATAAAAATATGTTCAAACTTTCCTTTTCAAATAAGTGGGCCAAGAGATCAACATTATAATAAGATTTAGGTAGGCCATCTTAGATCTCATTCTTTGCCCAAATCTGGGCTACCCAAAAGAGAAAATGGGACAGGCAGGGTAGCTTATGCATGTAACTCTAGCACTCTGGGAGGCAGAGGTGGATGGATCGCCTTAGCTCAGGAGTTCGAGAGCAGCCTGAGCAAGAATGAAATCCCCTCTCTACTAAAAATAGAAAAACTAGCTAAGTGTTGTGGCAGGCACCAATAATCCCAGCTACTCAGGAGGCTGAGACAAGAGGATTGCTTGAACCCGAGAATCTGAGATTCTCCTGGGCTCAAGACTCCATACTTGAGCTTGGAAAGCTTTGACTCTACTATACTCTATCCTGGGGCAACAGTGATATTCTGTCTCAAAAGGAAAAATAAAAAGAGGGAGAGAGGGAGAAAATGGGAGTTATGGTTTGTAGAAATGAAATTTATGCCTTCAAGGAACGTGAATGGAGTATTAATCTTGAAGCAACCTCTGGGCCAGGTATAAGCATTCAAGAGGAGACACAGCTCCTGGCCCATCAGGATCTTCCAGGCTAGAGTAGGGGTTGAGTAAACACAAACCTTGCAATATATATAGACTGGTAGAACCTCACTGGAGGAATGAGAACAGAAAATAGAGCACAGCTACTGTCTAACACAGCCACAAAAGTAGTCTATTAAAGGGCAGTGCCTGTGGCTCAGTGGGTAGGGCGCTGGCCCCATATACTTAGGGTGTCGGGTTCAAATCCAGCCCCTATCAAATTGCAACAAAAAATGGCCTAATGTTGTGGCAGGCGCCTGTAGTCCCAGCTACTCAGGAGGCTGAGGCAAGAGAATCACCTAAGCCCAGGAGTTGGAGGCTGCTGTGAGCTGTGTGATGCCGTGGCACTCTACCGAGAGCAATAAAGTGAAACTCTGTCTCTAAAAAAAGAAAAGAAAGAAATGTGACCACTGGGGTCTGAAATGGGAATAAGAGTTTTCTGGGTGGTCAGTGTAAGTACATACAAGGGCAAAGTGGAACAAAGGCTGAACGTTTGTTTGGTGGCATACTATATTACTCACAGATTCTCCCTTCTGCAGGTGGTGGTAAATGGCCAACACAGTTACACCTTTGCCCATCGAATCCAGCCAGGGTCTGTGAAGATGGTGCAAATATGGAGAGATGTCTCTTTGACCTCAGTGAATGTCTGCTAGAGAGGGAGGTGACCAGATTCCCCATTTTCAAGAAGTCCCTCTTTCTATATGACCTTGGATTCCCAGACCCTGCTTACAGAATAATCCCTCCTCACCTGTCCCCCATATTTGGTCATTAAAATGTCAGCAATCTTTACAAGATTTGGTTCTTGCTTTAGGGGGGAAAAGGGAAGTTGTCATCACAAAGAAGGACCTGGAGGTTTCCTGGGAGGCATCAAGAAATCACAGGGAGAGCCAGGCACGATGGCTCTCACCTGTAATCCGAGCACTCTGCCACCCTAAGATTGAGTGCTGTAGAGTCATCATAGCTCCAGGAGTTCCAGAGTTCCAGGAGACCAGGAGTTCCAGACCAGCCTGAGCACAAGTGAGACTCCATCTCTACTAAAAATAGAAAAATTATGGCTCGGTGTCTGTGGCTCTAGCGGCTAAGGCACCAGCCACATACACCTAAGGTGGCGGGTTCAAATCCCCAGCCCGGGCCCGCCAAGCAACTATGACGGCTGCACCAAAAAATGGCCGGGCGTTGTGGCGGGTGCCTGTAGTCCCAGCTACTTGGGAGGCTGAGGCAGGAGACTAGCTTGAGCCCAGGAGTTGGAGGTTGCTGTGAGCTGTGATGTCATGGCACTCTACCCAGAAGGATAGCTTGAGGCTCTGTCTCAAAAAAAAAAAAAAAATAGAAAAATTAGCTGGGCTTGGTGGTATACGCCTGTAGTCCCAACTACTCAAGAGCCTGAGGTAGAAGGATTGCTTGAGCCCTGGAGTTTGAGGTTGCTGTGAGCTATGATAAAGCCACGGCACTCTAGCTTAGGGGACAAAGCAAGATCCTGTCTCAAAAAAAAAAAAAACAAACCAAGAGGACAGAAGGAGTAAATAACAAGGTCATTGAAATACCTAAGACATTAGTAACAACATTCTTTCATAGGACTTAGTATATGTCAGACATTCAGAACCAAATCCTTACCCAATTTCAACTGGGGGAACTGAAATGTTAAGTAGGTGTTTATAGCCACTGAGCCATAATTGGTGGCTTGGGGCCAGGCACTGTGCTCACACCTGTAATCCTAGCATTTGGTTTTGCTTTGTTTTGTTTTGTTTTGTTTCACTTTGAGACAGTCTCACTTTGTGGCCCTCCATAAAGTGCAGTGGCATCATAGCTCACAGCAATCTCAAACTCTTGGGCTTTAGCAATTCTCTTGCCTCAGCCTCTCGAATAGCTGAGACTGCAGGCACCCACTACAATATCTGGCTAAATCCTAGCATTTTGGGAAGCCAAGGTGGGTGATCACTTGAGTTCAGGAGTTTGAGACCAGCACGAGCAAAAATGAGACCTTGTCCCTACTAAAAGAAGAAAAATTAGCCAGGTATGGAGGTGCACACCTGTGGTCCTCACTAATTCAGAAGGTGAGCTCAGGAGTTAGAGGGTTTCAGCAAGCTATACTGATGACACTGCACTCTTCCTGAGGTGACAGAGAGAGACTCTGTCTCAAAAAAAAAAAAAAGAAAAGAAAAGAAAAAAAGAAAAACCTACTAGAAGAAAACATAGTAAAACCGTTTCTTTTTCTTTTCTTTTCTTTTTTTTTTTTTTTTTTAGAGACAGTCTCACTTTGTCGCCCTCAGTAGAGTGCCATGACATTACAGCTCACAGCAACCTCCAGCTCTTGGACTTAGGCAATTCTCATGCCTCAGCCTCCTGAGTAGCTGGGACTACAGGTTTGAACCCACCACCCTTGGTATATGGGGCCGGCGCCCTACCCACTGAGCCAAAGGCGCTGCCCTTCTTTTCTTTTCTTTCTTTCTTTGTTTTTTTGAGACAAGAGTCTCAAGCTGTTCCCCTGGCTAGAGTGTCATGGCATCATAGCTCACAGCAAACTCCAACTCTTGGGCTCAAGCCTCAGTTTTCTTGTTTTTAGTAGAGATAGGATCTCAATTTTGCTCAGGCTGGTCTTGAATTTATGAGCTCAAGCTATTAACCCACCTCAGCCTCCCGGAGTGCTAGGATTACAGGTGTGAGCCACCTCACCCAGCTTTGTCATATTTATTTTAATAGACTACTTTTTTCTTTTTTTTAGAGACAGAGTCTCACTTGTCTCCCTCCGTAGAGTGCTATGGCATCACAGCTCACAGCAACCTCCAGCTCTTAGGCTTAGGCGATTCTCTTGCCTCAGCCTCCCGAGTAGCTGGGACTACAGGTGCCCACCACAATGCCTGGCTATTTTTTTGTTGAAGTTTGGATGGGGCTGGGTTTGAATCCACCATCCTCGGTACATGGGGCCAGTGCCTTACCCACTGAGCCACAGGCGCCGCCTGGAAAACAGTTTCTTCACATTGATCTGGGCAATAATTTCTTGGCTATGGCCTCAAAGCCACAAGCAACAATAGCAAAACTAGACAAGTAGGATTACAGCAAACTAAACTAAAAGACTTATTTCCATCCAGGGATCATGGTGGGCACCTCTAGTCCCAGCTACTCGGGAGGCTGAGGCAAGAGAATCACTAAGAGCTGAAGGTTGCTGTAAGCTGTGATGCCATGGCTCTCTACCAAGGGCAACATAGTAGGACACTGTCTCAAAACAATAAATAAAAATAAAAATATGGGCGGCGCCTGTGGCTCAGTGGGTAGGGCGCCAGCCCCATGTACCGAGGCACCTGTAGTCCCAGCTACTCAGGAGGCTGAGGAGAGAATCGCCTAAGCCCAGGAGTTGGAGGTTGCTGTGAGCTGTGATGCCACGGTATTCTACCAAAGGCAACAGAGTGCGACTCTGTCTAAATAAAAAAAATAAAAAGCTTCTTACCAGCAAAAGTAACAATCAATAGTGAAGAGACAACCCATGAAATTGGAGAAAATATTTGCAAACCATATGTCTGATAAGGGGTTAATATCCAATATATATAGAAATTCAAACAATATCAAAAAACTCAAATAACTTGATTTTTCTTGTCCAACCTGAGCAATAATGCAAGACCCAGCCCTGCCTTTCAAAAAAAAAAAAAATTAGGTAAAAGAACTGAAAGGTAATTTCTCAAAAGATGACGTATAAATGGCCAGCAGGTCTATGAGTAGGTGCTCAACATCATTGATCATCAGAGAAATGCAAATTTAAAAAACAATGAGCTATCACCTCATACCTGTTAGAAGGAATATTATCTTATAAAACCAAAAGGTAACAAGTGCTGGCGAGGATGTAGAGAAAAGGGAACCCTCTATCTTGTAGGTGAGAATGTAAATAGGTACAATCATGAAGGAAAACTATGGAGGTTCTTCAAAAAACAAATTAAAAACTACGTCTACCACATGGTCTAGCAATCCCACTTCTGGGTACGTATTCAAAGGAAATGAAATCAGTATGTTGAAGAATTATCTGAATTCCCATGTTCATTGCACTATAGGCAGGATATTCATTGACAGATGAATGAATAAAGAAAATGTAGAGGGCTATAATTCTAGCACTCTGGGAGACCAAGGTGGGTGGATCACCTGAGCTCAGGAGTTTGAGACCAGCTTGAGCAAAAGCAAGACCCTGTCTCTACTGAAAAAAAGAAAGAAAAAAAAGAAGAAAGAAAGAAAACTGGCCAGGCATTTTGGGGGGTGCCTGCTATAGTCCCAGCTATTTGGGAAGATGAGGCATGAGCCCAAGTTTGTAGTTGATGTGAACTATGATGACTCCACAGCATTCAACCCTAGGGTGACAGAGTATGACTCTATCTCAAAAAAAAAAAAAATTGTGATTCTCCAGGCAGCCTGAATGTGGGAACAAAAGGAAGCTGCCTTAAAGGAGCCACACACTTAGTGATTGCAGAGATGGTGGTGGAAGGCAGACTTGTGGTCTGTAGATTAGACCTCAATGCTTCAGAATAGCTCCTCCTGATAGGGGAGAGAACAATGAGTCACTAAAGTCATCTGTTTATGTTCATGAATGACGGCAGCATGATGAGGATTTTGCATCATCAGCAAAATCAAAGATGGACTTTCCTTATTATTATTATTATTATTTAAGAGTTTCACTTTGTCACCCTCAGTAGAGTGCCGTGGTGTCACATCTCACAGCAATCTCCAGCTCCAGGGATTAGGCGATTCTCTTGCCTCAGCCTCTCGAGTAGCTAGGACTACAGGCGCCCGCCACAATGCCCGGCTATTTTTTGATTGCAATTTGGCTGGGGCCGGGTTTGAACCCATCAACACTTGGTATATGGGGCTGGCACCCTACTCACTGAGCCACAGGTGCCGCCCATGGAATTTCTTTATATGATGCTTTTCACATTAACTAAAATAAGGAAAAGAGGAGAGCCACTATTTAAGATGCACACTGTAATATTATGGGTCCCATAAAAAGAATGGTAATGAAGCCGGGTGTTGTGGCTGGCGCCTATAGTCCCAGCTACTCAGGACTATTATTAGCTAAATAATAATTACCATAAATTATTTTGCTTTTTTACCCATTTTACTAAAATAAAAGTTTTAAATAGTAGTTACTTCTGGATAGAAAGGAGAGGACATACAAGGCGGCACCAGTGGCTCAGT